TGGTTACAGAAACCAAGGGTTGCCGAAAAGGAGCAGTCCGCTAGCAGACTAACAGACATCTTGTATTTTAAGTCCGTAGTCACAATCAAATGGTTGATTATATTCATTGTACAAGAGATTAAAGGAATGAACAGCATCATTACAACACAATTTACATCCAATGACTGTCAGTATTTAATGTCGTCCTTTTCTTTCAACAGCCTATCTGTAAGAATATTCTTAATACTTTTTGTACTTATTGTTTCATGGTGTGTACAGAGATGACTGAATAGCAATGTTATCAGTTCCTTTTTTGTCACAAAACGCTACCCTTAGCGGCACTCCTCCTTTTTTGTACTTTTTACATTTATTATTATCATTCTCTTTTCAAACAATCTTTGCTTATATTGACAACTCTATTTGCTGCAGGACGAGGTTTCAAGAAAATCGAAGATTTTTCGTCGAGAAAAGGTGTTAACAGTAAGAGTAATCACCCGCTCAATTGTATTATAAAAGTGGAGTTTTGACATGCCATTTTACAGCTGTACCAATATTTGTTAACAAGCTGAATTTGAAGAAAAAATGAAATAAAATGCAGAAGAAATGCATTTTTGACAAAAAAATTGATAACATTGTCTTCAGGTTATCGTAGAAAAAAGGAACTGCGACCTTAAGACGTGTTCTAAATTTTGCAAAAAGATATGAACGTTTGCAAAGAGTAAATGCACAGCGCAGTTCATTCTGTGGGGTGTCAAAATAGGTTTAAGTTTGAAAAACGTTACCACATAAGCTTAATGAATATTACTGCAGCTGAAAAAGTTTGACACGATAGTTGGATTATTCGTACATGCAAATAACTGTTGGATGAGAATTTTTAAGGACTAATAACAAAGTATGTACTTTGTACTACTAATTCGTCAATATAGGCATCCACTGAATGCTGCTTATGCATAGAACGATAAGAGACTGCACGGCATAACTTCAGACTGATGACAGAAATAACGAAACGCAACATGTGTGCAATAAATAGTCTTTGTTTTGTGAATGGTGGAATTGCGCATATTCTTGTCCAAGATTATTAACAAAGTATTTGATCGTTGTAGCCCCACGGTACCCCATCGGTGTTTAGGCCTTAGGCCTTCGTGGTAGTTGGAGTATAAAAAAAAACAGTGTGAACAGCGAAGTCCGTTCAATATTTTTTTTGTCATTTTCTTGTTAACGAAGTAGGATGAAGAATTTGATCGTGACATACGGTCTTTATGTTTACATAGCAAGAAGTAAAGGTAAGTGCTTGCAATTATCAAAGTCTTCCAATAATAATAAAAACATTTTATCGTTTTTGTTTTCGATAAAAACCGGCAACTATCAGTTTTCTTTATTTTTACGTATAGTATAGGAGAAACGGTTTTGTCAACATCTTAAAATACACCACAATTGAAAGAACTATACTAAGTGACATATAAATCCGAACACCCAGTTTAAATGGTTTTATTTTAATAAAAGTTGGTGAATGTATTTATCTTACTGTAAATAACAAGTGAAAAAATTTTCAGCCTTATCAGTTGAACATTCCGGTTTTTATACTGCTTTTTTTAATTCACTAACGCTCTAAAAATGAATATTTCAGCCGCAGTAAAGAATCACCTTTTTCGGATTTTGGTTCTTGACATCCTTTACGATCGGTTACGATGCCTAGAGTACGGAGACCTGTACGATTTCGTCAACTTAGTGAGTTTGATAGGGGCCGTATAGTGGGACTTCGGGAAGCTGAACTTTCTTTTCGGGCAATTGCAGTTAGAGTGCAAGGAAGTGTAGTACTGTGGTTAGGTGTTGTCAGGCATGGCTTCGAGAAGGCCGTACGGAAAGAGCAAGGGGCACTGGACACCGCCGTAGAACAACAGACCGTGAAGATCGCCGCCTAAGATTATTGGCCTTAAGGAACCGTTCCTCCACTACCAGGTCCATTGCAAATGAATGGTTTGCAGAACATGGAAGACCTATTGGCATGCGAAGTGTTTACCGACGAATGAGAAGTTTTGGCTTGTTTTCATACCGGCCACACTGGGTCCTCCCTTTAACTCGAGAACACCGACGTAATCGCCTTGAGTGGTGCAGACAACGGTCACTCTGGGATCAGGAATGGAACAGTATTGTCTTTAGTGACGAGTCTCGATTTTGTTTAGGCATGCACGGTGGTCGTGTCAGGGTTAGAAGGCGACGTGGTGAAAGGAGGAATCCACAGTTTTTTGTTGAAAGACATGTTCATCACACTGTTGGAGTTATGGTTTGGGGTGCTATAGCTTATGGTTCCAGGTCACCTTTAATCTTCATCAGAGGTAACATGAACGCGCAGCGTTATATCCACGAAGTTCTAGAACCCCATCTTTTACCCTATCTTGACACCCTGGCAGATCCAACTTTCCAACAAGATAATGCCCGACCACATGTTGCAAGAGTCACAATAGACTTCTTTCAACATAATGATGTCACATTGTTACCATGGCCACCAAGATCTCCCGACTTATCCCCAATTGAGCACGTGTGGGATATGATGGGTAGGAGATTGCTCAATTTGCAACGTCCTCCTCAGACTCTAGAAGCACTTCGAAAGGAGTTGGTGGTTGCCTGGAATGAGATACCACAGGAGGACATTGACCACCTGATCAGAAGCATGCCTAGGCGCGTTGGAGAATGCGTAGCATATCAGGGTGCATCCACACATTATTAAAGGTCAAAGGGTTTTAAAGCAGTGCAATCATTTTGAAATTTTTATCATTTACTTATTATGCTTCATTAAGTACTTATACAAAATTTTATTAAAGTAAAACCATTTAAACTGGGTGTTCGGATTTATATGTCACTTAGTATATTTCGCAGATAAACGGAACGATTTATCAATTCTGTAAGGATTTACATTACTATCGACAAACAGTTATCAGTAGAGGGCAGCAAATACTAAATATGCACGTTTTTAAAAAACATATCCAAGCAGTAAAATACGAACGTTGATATTTTGTTCATTTGTGGTTGATGCCCTCTTCAACAGCATAGCTCTAAAGATTAAAAGCATTGTTCACCTTATCAGTAATCCTGATCTTATTTTATCCAGCAACAATTAACTCCATGATTTCCTTCTTCTTCAATTCGTCCTGAGTCTTTTATTTTTATCACTCAACTTTGGAATTACCGTTGCCTCTATTTGCTATTCTGGAAGTCCAGTATTTTTGTATAGGTAGGAAAACGACAACCTTTCAAGTCATCAAGTTATTTGTGATACATTTTAATGGTAATTTTTTATATCTAGTAGCGTATTCGTACGAACCAGAAACCAACTACACTGACGAGTGACGTTGCATGAGGAAACGACAGAGAGTGTGGCACGGGATACATTGTATCGTTTGGAAATTTTGAGATTCGGATACATGACAGTCGTTGTGAGAAATACCCATATGATTTTTTCATCGACAATCGATATTTATCTTTTTTTCTTTAGTTATTTATCGTTTTTTTTTTTTTGAGTAAATCGATTAATAACCGATTATAGGTTAACGGCTTGCATAACTGAGTAGGAGTACCGTAGACGTAGCGCATTAAGTATAAAAAACGGTGACTATTCATCTTTGATATACTTTACTCAAGTCCAACTTATATTTTGCGGGCTTCTGCGTGAAACATTGTATTTAAATATGAACCACCACCGAGGATAATTTTCTAGGACGAAATGTTAATGGATCGGTTAAAAAGCAACATTAACCTGCAGTTTGGTTCAGCAAAGCCTTTTAATTTGGACTGCAGAATAGTGTAATTTAGAAAGTCCGGTGCAGTCTTTCATGCCCATGATTGGAGACCATTTCCAATAATAATGAGCTGTTACAGGACGCAGCTCCTGCACTAGCAACTTGATTCGCTGGAAAATCATGCCTGGGTATTTGCAACTCTCTGAATGGTGACACCATAGCTCACATTTCCTTTAATAATGTAACGAATATTCCATGTTTCAATTTCACTAATTCGGTGTTTGTCGAAAAACATCTTTATTCCAAGACACAAGCTGGTCTGTTTGCATAGGTGACTGATTGACGAGATATCAAAATGACGAGTTTCTCCAGACTATTCCAAATCTTCAGAAGTAGCTGTCCTTATACAGGTAATATACTATAATATATTGGACACCCGCTTTTGAAGAAGACTTCCACATTCTAGTAAAAATATACATCGGTGCTCCATTCAAACAAAATTTTTGCCTGCGTTGTGTATACCTGAATATATGTACATAATGGCTGAGCTCAAACCGCCACGTGTATATACAGGGTGACTTCGAAGTTGAGTCATTTATTTTAACAGTGAGTAGATCTGATCAAAAGAAATGTCTTTTCCTTCACCATTTTTCTGGTAAAATTAAAGTAACAAAGTTATAGCCCTTTGGAAGTTTGAGTACCGCCCTGTCTCAATAATAATATTATGTGCTCGTGTTTGGCGACAACGGATATAATCCGCCTTATCGGTTCATCGCATCGGAAACAAAAAAGCGAAAGAATTTGGAACGATGTTTTTACAATTATTTTATTCAATTGTATACAGTCAGTGTCAGTCGGTAACGCGTAAGTGAATAGTGGTGTCTGTTGCGTGGCTCAAACGAAATAAAAAATGGCACATGTTTATGCGGATCGGTTTCCCAATCGAGTGCAACCAACCCCTCGTGCCTTTGTTAATGTAGTACAACGGGCTCGTGAATCAGGTGACGGCATGCCGGTGCTCCAAGACCTCACGATCAAATACAGGTCCGCACTGAAATACTTGTCGGGAGGATACTTTATAAAACAAGGTAAATTTTTTTTTTATTTTTTTTTTATTTTTACACACATATTTTGGTTTATCTTCCTTCTACAATCATTATCTGAAAATTAATGACTCAACTTCAAAGTCACCCTGTATAAATATACACAGTCAGTGAAGAACGTTGAGCCGCGTGTATTCTACATGGGCACGTTTCACGTGTATTCTTATTGGATATAACTTACCGTAGCCTGGGCCAAATTAAAACTAATCTTAGCCTGAGAAAAATAACTCCGATATTTTTCTATCAACAGTTAAATAATAATAGATTTTTTCATGACTTGAATGCTAAAAAACTGTCAGTTTTGATATAAAAGTATTCATTCTGACTAATAATACGGTAGAATATGAAGTAAAGACAAGTTCGAGGAGAACTTTTTTAATAAACGCAAAAATAGATATTACTTGACATTATTTATATTATCGACCTAACGTTAAATGCAACTCCAGCAATACAAAATCGTTATACAAAATAAGATAATAAAACATATTTTCAAATATTGTTCAACGATTATTTTGGCATAATTGTGTGTTTATCAAAAAAACATTTTAAGCAGAGAAATTTTAGTTCACAAACTTGGCATTTACTTGTAACTTGTTTTGTTTTACTTATTGCATAAGGTCGTCCATGGTTATCTTCAGTTTTGTTCTTTCTCGTGCATTTTTATTCTTATTATATAAATAATGGGCGTTTACTATGCTTGTTCCAGTAGGTAACCCAACAGCCACCTTCCTGTACCACTTGATAGCCCATCTGAGGTAGAATAGAATAACAACTGGTCGGATACTTCGATAAAGCTTTTTGCGTTATTATAAGCCACAATAGTTTCCGGCTTCTTTTTGACCTCAGTTCTACCTGTGACTTCAACCAAGCTGAGTTTATGCCTAGCATAAGCATATCTGGCTTCATTTGAAAATAACGATGCCGTTTTTCTCTCTCCCTACAATTTCACCTTTCTTCAGTTTAGTGGGCAGTATTTATTTCGGAATACCTTTACAATTTTTTCGTAGGGTTCCCACTAGATGCATTTTCCTGCCTTGTAATTTTTCAGCTAATTCTATGCTGGTGTACTAGTAAGGAATAAATGAACCGCAGAACGCGACATTTAGAGCAGAACTATCTATATTACCACATCAACGCTACTGTTCTGGACAAGAAATGACAAGTCTAAAGAGTGTATCCAGACCTATACACACGGCGGACAACAAAGAAATGTTCTTCCAGGAAACGTGTAAATTTTTTGTAAAAATGTTACAAAAAATACAAAGAAATTGTATAAATGATGTATCTAAGGTGTGTCGACAAAGCATTTCAAAAACATTTTCATAAAAAAAATGTGTGGCACACGGGACCCATCTGGTGATTTTGGTGTGGCAGTCAAAGTGTTAATAATGATATTGAAAAGAGTGGTATATTTTCCAAGGAAAGAGTGTATATTTGTCAGATTAAAAAGGTGTTAGATAACTTTTATAGTAAAGGAGCTTTCTAACTATTGCTCATTAAAAACTTACTCTGTATCTTCTTGGGAATCGTACTTCTTTAAATCGTAGAACGAATTGCCTTTTCGCTAGGATTTGAAATACTCTAGTTTTGCTGAATATTAATTCAATCCACTTCGATGCTCAAGAAGCCACCTACATGTCCTTCTTGTATAACTGATACCTTGAAAGGGTCAGACCTTCATGTTCATATTAACAGGATCTCATCGGAAAATGGCTTAAAATCTTAAACCACTTAAACTGCGTATTTTCTCAACATCTGTAATCACCTTTATGCGTCGTTTCCTCTGTTGCAGGCGCTATGACATATCCCTGTCTATGAAATTTTAATTTGGAAAGATTACACGACTTATGAGGATTATGCACCATTCCACCAATGCGAGGGATTTAGTCTCCTTGAAAATTCAAAGGAGCTTATCAGGATAATGTTTAATTACAGTGTTGTAGTACGCTGTACTATCTCTTTATCAATTTTTAACGTTATTGAGTTGCAGAGAAGGTATGCATTTTTGTAAGGCTTCATAAAATTATATCTAATCAGATTTGTCCGAGATCTTCAAAAATACAGAAATCATAGATTTTCTTATCCCTTAGCAGCCGCGCAAGCCTAAATACCAGGGCGCCGCGGCTGCTATGAGGAGCTTAAAGAAGCTCTTTTAGTCCGAACTGTCTAAGGTTAGTAGAACTGGGAAAAGCCTCCTCAGGCAGGTTTTGCCACAATATCGACCCCAAGGAACAAAAGCACGGTCGTATCGGCCAGTTCTGGATGTACGAAGTTCGACACGGTCTGACTGGCACATGAAGGATAACTCTGAGGAGCAAATCCCGTTGGCGAATCGGAAGAAGAGAGCTAGATCGCCGACGACCTGCCGGTGCGAAAAGGTTCCGAGACTGTCTGTTAGAGAAGAGTTATTGATACATGAACATAATCGAGCATGGATAATGTAGTCGGGGTGGCAGCAAGCCAAACGTGTGAGCAGTACTTGAGGCTAGGCCTTTTCTGGGCCTTGCGCAGCGTGAAGAAGTCTTCTGGAAAAATAGTTCTCAGCCCTAAACAAACAGCCTTTTACCAGCAGCTGCCGCTACTGACGAGATATTCTCGTTCCAGATCAGGTCCTCGGTGATCTGGACTCCGACCAACCGAAATAAACAGCTCTGTGGTAGAACTCGTCCATCCATTAAAGACGGATGAGCGTTAGGGCGTTTCTTAGTAATCTAATGTGTTTTGGAAGCATTATAATGTGCCAGGCTGTTGAGTCCCCAGTAGTCATAACTTCCAGGTCTCTCGTTTGATCGACTTGTTGCTCTGAACAAGTCCTGCTTGTATAGTGCTGCCATCGGAAAAGCTGTGGATCGGATTAATGTACAGGAAAGGAGATCGTTGATGTGCAAGAGAAACAATTTGGAAGCCAAAACCGATCCCTGGGGAACACCCGCATAGACATTGTGGGATGCAGAAAACAGCCCGGCAATTACGACGGATACCTTTCGGCCTCCTCTATCTGCAAAGCTTCTCTGAGAGGGATGGAAGTTTGCATAGACAATCTGTCAGAACATTCGCAGTGTTTTTTTATGTACAAAACAGTACACATGTAGTATATATCTTAGAGTTTCTGCGATGAGAAATAGCTTACATAAACGTTGATGTTGATGATATAAATCTGACTTAAACCTCACAAAAGACGAACGTTAATGCTTTACAAGCCTCTCTCTCGCTCTCTCACACACACATACTCTCTCTGTCTCTTGTAATTGCCACGTACAGGCAAACAAGAAACAACTCCTTGCATATTCCGTTTTTGAATTATTTATCTGCGCAATTCATCCTACTCAAACATATCGTCCCCCAAAACATGAAGTGTCGTATCTGTCGTTTTTTGCAAATTTGAGTTAGGCCAGGTATGAGCATTATAAAGTCGCCACTTCCTTCTTACAAGGTGTCGTGTCTGAATTTTCAACCAATTTTAATATTTGGTTTCAACGTATCTGCCTTAGCGCATTCAGAGAAAGTCACGAACTGTCGTATCTAAGTTCATTTGCCGATTCATCATGATCTTCTGGTCTCCTAATCGTTCTACCGCGATGCTGTACTGCTGCTAAGATTGTTATTGTTTTGTGTGGCATGAAACATCAGGTTAGAGAGGACCCTCGGAGATAACAACCTGCCTTTTTAAAATTTTAGAGGAATAGTGTAGGCAGGACAAAACAAAAGTTGTATTTTCTGATGGGTGCTATAGCCAGAATGAAAACATTATAGTTGTCGCTATGCTCCTGTTTGCAGTACCCTTCCATCGCTGATAAAGATAGCTTAAGACTCTTTGTTACAAACCATGGATAAAATGGAGGGGATTCTGCCAATAGCAGCATTTCTCATGCAATTTTTAAAGCAGGGGATATCTTTGAGCCGTCTCAGCTATTACCGATTATCAGTTTGGCAACAAGACGGAAACATCCGTATAAAGTACGTCCCCTAACTTTTAGAGACTTCATGCATTTTAAAGCTTTGTCTAAGAATTTGAGGATTTTATCTATACGTACTACAGCTTCAGGAAGATCAACTAGCTGGACAGACATCATGGAAGTTAAAGTTAATAAGTAAAACCAAGATAAAATATTTTCCAAGACGAGCCATTTGACACAAGGGTATGATAAAACGTCAGTAGGCCACTATACCCCTCATCAGTAAATGTTTCTAATAATAAATATAATCACTTCCTTGCTTTATGTAATGGCAAAAATCCCGTGATAAAACTACCGGAATAAAGAAATTTTATGAAGACTTTCTTCATGATAAGGTTTGGGTTTAGTTTTTTTATATAGATTTTGAGAATTTTTTATATTTTTTGTTTATTAGTGCCTTACCTCTGTCAATAAAAATTATGAACAAGAACTTTCAATCTCCCTTTCTTTGATTATACATCATTATGTACGGGTGTTTTCGTCGTATCTTTCGTCGCATCATTAAAGAATTATTTTTGACAACACGAAATGACGTATCTGACTTATACATTTTTTTTTCTCAAAACTTATTCATCATACAAGGATTTTGCTAGCTGCATTTGAAAACTGGTAGATTTGAGTATTATAGGCTCAAAACGTTTTGTGATACACTTTTTATTGTATGTTATGACATCCGGATTCTCAAAGAGATCACGTTTATTTTTGTTTTAGCTCTTCTGTAAAATTATCGAAATGTCAGTTACGGCACTTCGTGTTTTGGGGGACGATATGAGGAGTCACATCCTGTAGAGTGTACATGTTGCTCATTTTAGCAATTGTTTGTGAATCTAAAAACCGGCACCTCGGTACTGCATTTTTGTAAAACAGATTTATTTGGAAACATTTTCTGCTGTTCCAAATGCTGAAGTTAGTTTTCCGATGATAAAATTAATTTATATGCGTAGGCATCGAAATTCCAAGAAGGGAATGGGCCCACTCTTTCCAAAAGACTCAAATGTAATCGAAACTTGATTAGCTATCTTCACTTAAGTGCGATATATCTGTAAGCCTCTATATCTTAAATTGTAGAACGTCTATCGTATTCCTGTTTGACCAGCAAATACGAGTATATGTAAAATATGTATGACCATTATATCTAACGAGTGCGCCATATTATCGTATTATAACACCGTTTACTGATATAAAAAATGCAATATTTCCAACCATCCACCCCCTACAAATCTCAAGCCCCAAGGTTGAATATGGAAAGACATATCTGTATATATATATATATAATATTGTAAAAAGTATCCCCTGGCATGAAACAAGTCACTTGGAAAGATTTATTTTGTCAAATATTCAATTACATGAATTTCCTACTTCTTTCTCTTGATTCGTTAATTGCATCTCGTGGTTGTATGCAATTTTGAATGGAGGATGGATAAAGTTCAATGCATTTTTTGAAAGAGTGTCTCAGATTTAATTGCCTTTGACAGTTTCGCAATTTTTGTCTAATTTCGTACGCTACTAAGAAGCCTACACGGCTACTCTTTGAGTAATATTTGTTTGCGTTCTTAAGCATGAATACCAAAAATCAAAAATCTCCCCCTTGCTTTTTCTAAGAGCCTGGTTATGTCCCGAACGTCAGCGTGGACATTTTTCAAAAGACCTCTTCTCGCCGCATACAGTCCGCATTAAACTAATTTTCAACTTTTCAATTCCGACTTCCGGTTACAGACAACCAGACACAAGACTAATTTCGTACCTAATGAAATACATTAACGACGCCTTATTGGAACTTGTAACAACATTTAAATACAAAGCTCGCGCCAAAGTGAATGCTAATTTAAGTTTTCCCTGCTAATAGTATCCCACTCAAATTTCGTCCGTTCACGTTGGTGTTTGCTGTGTGGGCAGTGGACAGTAACAAGCTTAGTTGCAGATACATGGAAGCCATGTGATGTTTGATCC